ACCAGTTTGTGCTGCTTGAGCTGATCAAGTGTTTTGGTGAGAAGGTTTCTCGTGGTGGTGTGGTCGTGCTAGTGCTGCTAGTACGAAGTGTGGCTGCGTGCCGTTGCCAACCGTGCGTGTTGGTGTGTGGAGATTCCACAAAACTCAAGTCTAGGCTCATGAGGAGTTTAGCTCATGATTAGGTTATCCTGAAGAATCTATGTTATTGAACAGAGCGGTAAATTAAGAAGTTGTACTTGATTTACGCGTTTGCGAATAAATTGTATTTGCTTTTTGGTTTCTAGTGGATTTGATTTCTGGACTAGATCCAGGGGAGTAGGAAACGAACCTCGTGAAAAATTTTCTTGTGTCATATATTTTCTGTACTACGTATTGCCATACTTGCGTTTACAAAATTGTTTCGTCTAGTTCTACACTTGTTTTTTTTCTTGCTTTGACAAAAATTAGTTTCATTCCAAAGTTCTTTAAATATAAAATTCCCATTCTATTATTATCTTGGTGATTTTTCCATTAATTGTGTTATGGATCGGAAACAAAGAGCGTATGACAAGTAGTAATAAAAAACGCAAACATAGCTAATTTAATGGAGATGGTTAAAGAGGACTGAAATAAGTGTGTGTCGGATCCAAAATGAACATTGCGTAAATGTTTGGGAAACGACTGAACATGTTAATAAATGGTACTTTCACAATCACCTTCTATTCTGAATATATATAATGGAAAAAGAGGTCCGAAATCCGATATTTGATTCGATATATTCCAAATATATATGGTGTCTACTTTTATTATGTATTTGTGAAAAAATTATATTATTAATATACTAAAACTAAATTGATTTTTTAAGTTTTTTTTCTGTATTTTATACCTCTAGTGTGAATCCCGACATTTTCAAATATTCGAAAGAAAAAAAAAATGAATTTACATATTTGCACCTTAGATCGGACAAATCTGGATATAGTAAAATTTCAGAATACCTAAGTCGTTTCCACTCTTAGTTCGATAGACATTAAATGCTTTTGTCATTTTCGGGGCCACGCAACGTTTTTTTTTTGTTTGAACCTTTTTCATGGCCACGCAACGTTTTTGATGATTATTTTAGCCATGTCATGCCATGCTATATTTATTCATCTTAAATAATGTCAAATTATTTTTTGTTGACCAAAAAAAAAAAATCATGTCAAATCAATTTTTTTTGTCTCTGTGTTATATCTTTAAAGCAACACATATATCATATAAGTTTTTTTTTGTTTAACCAAAAAAAAAATATCATATAAGTTTCAAAAAAAAAAAAACACATATATCATATACTCTATACATGATTCATCCTTGACCAATAATTGGTTTACTTTCTTATGTTGCCTAATATATTAGATTATATCTTAAAATAATGAATTTATTATTTTCCATGTTGATTAGTCATGGAAAAATAAAATACAGGAGCATGTATAAAACTTTTAATTTAATGAGATTAGTCATGTTCTTAAATCATCTTATATTATTTAATTTTTAAAGTTGTTGCACATAGATTAAAAAATTATTTATTTTTCTGTTTTTTCAAAATGAAACATGTTTTCAATTTCAAAACAATTCAACCAACTAAAAAATTTAAATAATTAAAAACACAACTAATTTTACATAGAAAATTAAAAATATCGACATCATCTATTATGAAATAAAAAAAAATCTCTAAAACATCAGCTATTATAATACGGAGAGAATATTAAAAACCAGTTAGACTATTTTACAACAAAATATTTTCTAATTAGAATTATTCGACATTAAAACATTCTTTAACTCGATCGATAACAACCAATCTTAACACTCAACAAATCATACACGTCTTTAATTTTCTTTTTTAAAACGTCTGGATAATTTTTAAACGCTTTTAATAATATCCACGAAACAAAAAGTTTAGATTTTTTCATAAGTATGTTTTGGATTTATAAACATAAATTATCAACCAAACTGTCTCAACATACCGATATGAATTTAATTGAATACACACATATTCTCAAACAAAATTAAACTTTCAAATTTTCGATTTTCTTCTCTATTTTTTCTTCTTATTCTAATATTTTTTCTATTATTTATATGATTCAAATCCATACTTTTTTCTAATAGTAAGAATTACAAAATTTTAAATTGGCTTTAAGAAACTATTCACTCTTAATATTTATATAACTATTTATATCTTTCAAATATCTTCGTAACTAATTTATCTTCATTTATCCTTTTGAAAATATATATATTCTTTTGAAAACACGCGTAACCATACTAAATGGTTGGTGGTCTAGTAGTCTTAAAAGTAAAAATTCATGTTTAAAGTAATTAGTTCAATTCCAGTTGGGAGAAATGATTTACGTTTTAAACGTGGTATTATGAACGATTTAATTTTAAAAAAAACATGCATAGCCATAGAGTTTAAAAAATTAATGAGAATTCATCTTAGCAATACCAATTTCTGATTATGTTTTCAGTTTTAATAAATCCTACCCAAAGAATTTGGTTAGATTATTTGATATAAATTTTTGTTTGGTTATACAACCAATTACCCTTATATTTTCACCTCACCTATGGATCTCTTTCTGTATATAAATCTTTTTTTTTTCGGACACTATTTTACCACAGCTCTAATTTCATTTGTTGAATTAAAAGACAATGAAAATTGAAACAATGTGGGGATTTGTTCGGTTATACCTGTAGATTAATTGCTGTACAATTTTGTCTGTAAACGTTTTTGCTGTAATTTTAAGATTTTAGCTGTAATTTTTTAAAATTAAAATACGATTGATAAGTATTAGATATATATTGTAAAATAATTATTTATTATATAAAATTTCCAGAATTGAATAAATAGGAATATACTAGATATTAGAGGAAAGAGAAAATGAGGAGAAGAAAGTCAACG